AGTAATCCACTTACAAACAATTTTTAAAAGTTTTGTTGCAAAAAAAAGAAACGAACTTTTACCAGTTGAACATTTCCATCAGTTATCCCTACCATAAATTTGAAAATGATAAGCTTATGCGAATATTGCTCCTGTTTTGCACCTTGCTAATATATCAATCAGTACATTTTTCATCGTAAGCTTATATATTTTTGATCAGATTCAGCCGTGATCGGACACAAAATAGAGTTTTTTTTTTCCCCCAGAGACTAACATTATTGATTACGTAATGTTGAACATTCGTTAAATAAATCTGAGCTAATCGTTGATTGTCGAAACCAAGGCCAAATTCCAAATAGCTCACTCTTCTTTCTTTCTGTCCTGTTCAGCTCTCTCAAAAAAGAAGGTTAACGAATTTCATTTTGTTTAGATCCAAGTAATAGTAAACGATTAAATTACCAAATAATGCTTGTGGTTTCCAGAGAGCTGTGCTGTGTAATTATTAAGTTTTGAAAATCGAAAGCGGATTAAATGAAAACATTAACAAATTTTTTTATAGTTTCAGTTCCTGGAAAATTAATTTGACAAGAAAGAGGAGCAAATCAGATACTTTTCCTTTTCCAAAGATGGAACATGCAGCTTTATTGAGAAAGTGGTTGAAATATTACATTTTGCTCTTTGAAAAAACACTGAATTACCTAGAAATGTTTTAGATTTTGTTCAAGCACACTTCTCTTGTTTCGTTTGAATGCTTGACTTTTAAAATCTTCACAAGATATTATGAACAGCTCAGAAGGTGATATTGTATTTATTTTCAAACCTGTTTCAGCACTTTTTTCTTGGAATTTTAAAATGACAAAATTTCTTTCTAAATTTGAATTCAAAAAATAAGGCTGCATAATTTTTTGAAATTAGCATTGTTTTGGAAGTTTATGATTTTTTGTGGAACTTAAGATTATTAATACATACTGTTAACACAATAAGTTCCGAATTCGACAAAATAAATAAATTTTAGAACACATAATGCAGCTTTAGTGTCCAACTGAATGATTATTCTCTAGGCAGTTACCACACAAAACATTTTATGTCAAGGGTTAAAGGCCTTTATTGTGATTATGGTACCTGACGCGTAAGAATCCGATTTGCCTTTTACACTATACGATTCCAATACTCGTTTGTATCAAGAAAACCAGTCTAGTGAATGCGGTAAAACTGAACACTGTACTTCAGCCTGCTGCAGCGCTTGCCATTGCTACTGTCATTTTTGTTCGTATCTTAGACTATTTGCTGGCGGGTTATGTAGCATCTAGCTATCCCTGTTAAGAATAACTTCAATTACCTCTGTTGACAAAAACACCTCCCACTGCCATTTCAGTTGTTGATTGCAAGAAAGTCTACTGTCGTCTTTTCTGCAGAAAAGTGTTCAATGCGGTTTCCGGGATTGTTGTATAATTTTTTATATATGCTTTGTTACATTATGCTATACTCAAAAATTAAATGATTTAAAATTTCTACATTTAAAATTTGAAGTTTACGACTTTGTGTTTTTATTTCACTTTTTTAAACGTAAATGAAATCTTTGTATTTTAGATTAATGTAGAAATCCTAAAAAGCGATAGGTCTTACATTTTTAGTGGTAATCGGATTTCAAAGTACTATGTCTTCGTTCTAATCGTATCAAATATGTGAAAATTTCAAAATCTTAATGATGCATTAAGCAGGATAATTAAGTTCCCTACATATTTTAAAATGCGTGATGCATTTTCATCTACAAACAATTGCTGTAACAGTGCATTCAAAGCCGTTCGATCTAATCACATACAATGCCTTACGCACATGAATAAGCGAGATCTGGAACAACGCGACATCAGTGGACAAACGCCGCTTCACGTGGCTGCTAAACTTGGCTTTTTGCAGGCTATCGAGTATGTTTGTAGTATTGATTCTTTTCGTCCTTCTTTATTTCCGAAGTTTATCGTTGCCCTATAACATTTAGTTTACTGCAACACGAAGCGCCAGCAACACAGGATGCTGTATCAGTATTTGGCGAGAACCCGGCTCTCGTTGCTGCAGGTGAAGGACAGACACCAAGTGTTGAATTATTGTTCAGTGGAAATTCGAAACATGCCTTTGCTCGAGCACAACAGCGAGACATCAATGGTACTACTGTGTTAATGGCTGCTGTTGCACGGGGAAACAACGACCTGGCTTTATGGCTTCTGAGACGTTTTGGGAAAAAATTGGCAATGCTACCCAATAACTTCCGCATGCTACCGCTACATGTTGCTGCTGCAAAGGGTATGCAACTCAACCTTGACCTTTATGGATAACGTTTTATTCATTGTTGATTATCAGTATTGGCAACCGTCAAGTAATTACCATACGAATAATGGTTCAACTCCTACACGCATACCACTTTGTTGTTATTAGTGTCAATAACTGAGGCTGCCAGAGCTTAATGAGTTTAATAAGAGAATTTTAGTAAAACAGCATTTTTCTCTATTTAGTGCGAAATGTTCCTATCCATAGAAACTTAGTTTACATCTAGCAATCGAAATTTTAATGTCTCATAACTTCATCATAATTATTTTGTCACGCATTGGATTGTAACAACAGCGTCACAATCCTAATTTTATAGAATGTAATCGTCCAAAAGACACATTCCAGTCACTTTTATTCATTAGACCGAACAATATTCAAATCAACATTTCGACATTTCATTTATGTAAACATATTATTCCTTTCAAATGATTGTAAACAAGTCCAAAAAAATTATAGGTAACATTGAATTTATTCGTAATGCAGTCAAATGTGATCGACGTATGGTTAATTTCAGAGATCAGTTCGGTAACCTTTTTCCTCTGAATTTGATTTTTAGAAAACTAGTACATATCTGCTCTTTTTTCCGATTAATGAAATTGATTAGAGCTGATATAAACGTACCGCTTATCAATTAAAACGAATGGTTGCTTTGAGATTAGTACCACAAATAATAATACAGTGCTGCAGGCTGTACACCAGTATTCTATGCAATTCAAGGAGGATGTTTTAACTGTGTTAGACTTTTGGTCGAGAAAGGTGGTGCAGATATTTGTATAGTATCAAATAAAGGGCAGTCACTGCTGCATGTTGCATGCCTCGCTGGCCATGCGCATATTGTCCGATGGATAGTAAATCGTTCTGCAGCTAATGTTATTTTATGGACAACGAAGGATAACGTTAATGCCATACATTGCGCCTCATGTAAGCCTAAAATCATTAAATGAAAATAATCACATCTTCCAAAAATTTCTCAGAAATAAGACCTAGGCTATTTTAAAATAATGCACGGGGAAAAAGAATATTTTTGGAAATTTTTTTAATGATTAAGTGACTTTAAGAACATAACCATATTTGTTAGCACCTCGAATGTCTTTTTGAATTAGTAATACCCAGGACGCCAATTCAATCGAAGAGAGCAGTAGCCATCTCGTTTTGCATGACAGAAATTTCCCATGTAATTTGAGGTTAAACTTGAAAATGAAAAATGAAAAACCTTGATCTGTTATGTCGTTTTCGGACCAACCGAGTATTTAATTAAAGAATTATCTTGCAGAAGAGTTTTTTCATTTAGATAATGGAAGCGTTGCTGCACTGCATATTTTACTTCATACCATATCTCATAAATGTCGGCGACAGATACTTGCATTGCGAGATTCAGGTGGCAATACTCCGCTCCATCTTACAGCTATCAATAATCACACCGATGCCGCACAGTATTTGGTTAGTTGTAAAATTATTCTGTAGATGTATCTTGTACTTGGTGAAATGCATCTCTTAAAATAATCAAGGAGTTTAGTTGCAATTTTCTTCTAGCGAGAAAGGAGTGGTGTGATTGAAAACAGTCTTAAACAAAGCTGAGAAACAATGGATACTGAAGTTGTTAAGATACTGGTCAAAACTGCTTTTCTCCTAATAAATGAGAAACAAAGAAACACCGACAGTCCTTCATTGTCCAGAGTCTCTTTAGGACAGCCTCCCTGAAAGCATGGGTAGAAAAAAAAAAAAGAAAAAAAGGCTATGAACTGGTATGCTGTCAAATTCGAAAGAAATTGAAGGACTAGGAAGAAACACCTGAATGAATTTGCCAAAACTACACATAAGTCTGCAGCTGTGGTAGTAATGATATTCGGCTACCGTAAAAATCATATTCCATGTCGCATAAAAGCGTAATTTGATGTTGGCATGATGGGTCTATTTCAGCAAATCCTATATCTCTGATGATCGTGATGATGATGAGATAGGACTACTCGCAAAATACAGTGGGAATAGTAGAACAGCTATAATATTAATATCTCATTAGTATCTCTCAATAATTTCAATTCTGTTTGTCAGTGATCGATAATTTTAGAGTCATTTTTTCCAGCTGGAAAGTGGTGCTGAACCGTTACTGCTGAATAATGGAGGACAAACAGCTGAAGCAATTGCATGCATACGAAAAAATTATGAACTTGCGAAACTTTTATCTTACTGGAAAGGTATTTTGACTTGAGTTGTGTGAACAATTCCTAAAAGTACTACTTCTTGAATAAGTTGGAAAATCCACATAACTCCAAGAATACCACTGTTCCATTCTAATTGAAAATAATTGGAATAAAAATCAACTAGTTTAAGAGCGAAAACAGAAGAAAAAAGAATGGTTCTCACCGTTGGTCGCGATTGATATACCGCATATAGACAATGTCTATTCGTCTGATTATTGGAGTACCTCAAACCACACTATCCCGAATAATTCAAGCCACGTTATGCCCATCAATATTGCTGCACCGCCATTATTACAACAAAACAGCGCCTCGAAATATTCATCGAAAGACAACTTCACTATCAGCAGTCCAGTGTAAGTTCATTGTTCTGAATTAATTTAAAATATATGTATAGAAGAATGTCTGCAACAATAATTTGAGTTTTTTGAATGATATACTGCATCTGTTATAAATACAGTTTGTTATAAATGCATTTTTTATTAATACAGTGAGGTAATAGTGGGCGAACTACGCCCAATAACCTATATCGCATCGGATGAAGGTGGTCGAATTTATGAAGATCATTCAATTCAAACCGACTGTGACTCCTTGCGAGCTGCAACAAAGGTCACTATTTTTCTATGGTGAAGCTTTTGGACTGCTGGTGTTGAATCTTATTCCTAAATAAGTTCTTAAAAGCTTAAGCGCCAAGAATGGTTGTGTATGACTTTCAAATAACACTGGCTGCACTAACATGTTTTCATGTAGCCAAGCTGTCCCCTGCTTCAGATTTAGAATATTATATTCTATACATTAAAAACAATACCGGAAGTGCCTGAACGCGTTTGTCGCAATGACGGGGACTCCAAACTGCATTTGCAGCCAGTATGATTCTCAGTTTTACTAATAAGGAATAGGCGAAAAAGGAGGATCATAACAGTTTAATTCCGCGTCTGTCTTTTATTACATTCAAAATGTAAACGAAATTCACTGAGCAGGTTCTGGATGAGGACGAATGGAAGGAAAGTCTTGCAGCAGTCGCGCAAATTGACAGAGTTCTACAAGAAATCGACGCTTGAAACAGTTTATCCAGAAGTCCCGAACCTACTTTCTTGGAGCAGCGAAATGCACACGTGTCCACACAGCCTTTAGTCTATCTCCCCTCTTCTTTCCCGTCCATTACCTAACAACTCCATAAAATATCGAGCAGATAAGAATTATTGGTTCCAGGTTCCGTCGTCAAACCATCAAACCCTGCTTTATTAATCCTTCGGGGGCCAATTCAAGTCAAAAGTCCTAATTTCCAGGACCTTCAAGGACGTAAACAAGACTTTTGCGGTTGTTTCTCAATGTCTAACTTATGAATTTCTAGGAAATCCTTGCAGGTTACTTTTCTATATTTTTCTTCACGAATCTTTTAATCCATTTGCTCAATTTATATTCTTAAGCCGTATATTGTCTGTCAGCTGAATTTGTCAATACTTACTGGTGCTTTGCTGCATCTATTACATTATCTTTACCGTAGTGTAATAAACGCCAAAAATTTCAATAAGTTGTACTTTACATAAACATTTATGGAAATGTGTGTTTGTTACAGTAAAGTTGAATATATTTGCAGAACTTATTGTACATCTTGATGCAGTAACTACGTTAGCTGTGTTAATATATCTAATCCTGTAACTATGTTAACTGCGTTACAGATTTTTCTCTATGAAACATATTGATATTTACAGTCGTAAAAACTATTTAAGTGTGTAAGTTTACTTCAAAGTACCGCGTTTTAACTTTTTAACTGTTTCTGCTTATCTTTTCACCTATTATTCACTACTCAGATCATCCATTTTCTGGATTTGAAGTCCTAAATTTCTTCCCAAAGCACCTTTAAAATGCATGGAAGAATAATAAATCAATAAACGTTTGAGTACATTCATAATGATTGTTGTAAATACATTTACAAGTTAAAAAAAAAAAAAAAGGAACAATATGAATTACACGTAACAAGTATTTAAATGGTCACATAAATGTCAGATCATCTTGCTCAGGGGTTTTTCCGTCGACATCCTACCCATACCGGAGGTTTTTTCAACATTTTGGTTATTCCTCTTATACTCCGTCTTACTTCCCTCCTTTCCAACAAATGCTGCTTTCCTCTCCTTGCCAAATACTCCTTTTTTGCAGCCAACGCACAAGTTTTCATTTTAAATGTCATCTGCAGCCCACCAAATGGTATGCATTGTTCACTTCTCCCCACATCTTTCGATGAATCTTTGCGTTTCATATTCATCGTTTCAGCTTTTGCCTTTAAAAAATTCGTCTCATTTAATTTATAATTCACTTTTTTAGTGCTCGGTCATCCACTTCATCCGTTTCTCTAAGAAAAAACTTCGATGCAAAGATGCGATTCAGCATTCTGACCAAACAGATTACAAAAACAAAATCAGATACAAGAATGAACCTGAGCAAAAAATGGAACAGCATTTTCACCAGCCTTCTTCTGCTTCAAGTATTGTAAAGTATCTTCACCGATATCTGATTCGATTAAGTCAAAACCTTTTGGCTTCACAGTTTCCCACTTTCCTAACACTGCTGACTGCATTTCTTCATCATCACTACTTTCCTTATCATTGAACATCTGAAAGATTCTTATTTTGGGGGAAAAATTGTGAAAATCGATTACGTCACCTTAACGTGATGAGCACTAAAAGAATGGTGATTCGAGATTCAATCTATTTACTACAGACTTCCACCAAATCAAACAACAAAGGTCAAACGAACTTACATATGGTTTTTTCACCGTATTATTTTTCGCATCACTCTTGTCATCAGTTTCAACAAAAATTTCATTACTCTTGCTGCTAGCGCTGCTTGTACTTTCATCGATGTCCAAATCTTCCGTGCTTTGCATTTCTGACTATATATACATATATATATATACAAATGTTAATTCTTGCATTAATAATTAACAAACACAACGCAAGATATAATCAACACATATCCATTTCTGGAATATTAATTTGTGCAACAAATATGAGATTAACCCCCGTTTATTCCAAAACTATGTGAAATAAAGGATATTTGAAAATTGCAAAATTGGCTGGATTAAATTAAATTATAACTTGTTCTGAGAACAAATAAAGATACCTTGTTATCGTTCGCATTATCAACATCTTTTTTTGACAGTTTTTGTCGTTCCCCTCCTAATTTTTTCATAATCGAGAGAAGCAGTTGAAACTGCTCGCTGCTTTCATCAACTTGAAAATCAGGGTTTGTGAACAGAGACCCAAAACGTTCGTCTAACAATATGGAAGCCGCATCTTTATCCTGAAAGAGATATAATATGGGAACACGGACATCACTGGCTGATATTTTTTCAAAAAACAGGTAAAACGGGCTTCCCTATTTTCAATATTTAATCAAGAAAACCTTTTTCTTTGTCTTTCCATCGACGTTTTTCACTTCTTCCATCAAAGCCAACAATTTTGCAGCTAGTTCTTTGTTCACACTTGGTAATTTCGCCTTCCTTAACTTCCTGCTTGCAGTTGGCAAGGAACGTTCTTCATCAATTTTTTCCATTATCTGCAAACATTAGAAAATTAAGAAGGTTAAAAACACAAACTCATATTTGACAGCATTAAAATATTTGCTGCTTCTTATTAAGAACAAGAAATAATGAAGAATGAATAGGGAAGCACATATGCACTCAGATGAGATGAAATTATATCCATATTACCTTTCTCTGCTTATAATTTTCATACGCTAATGGTTGTGTGAATGTTTTCGCTTTATTGTACAACCGGATATCGATGAAATATCCATGCATATAAGCACGCAGAAGGCTAGTTCCAATAAGGTGTAACAGACCGATTTCTTCAAGCTGCCCTTTCGTCACAAATTTGTAATCATCATATACTAAAATGTTTGCCAGTAAGAACTAACAGAACATTGAGGAATATAGATAAAATGACGAATGTCTCGAAGTAAAACTACATTGTAAACGTAAGCAAAACATTTGTACATAAGACGCAATGAACACAGTGTGAAAATATTGAATTAGAGAGGGTAAAGGAAATGATAATTTATGCATACCTGCAGGCTGTTCTGTTTCTTCCAATTCTTCCGTGACTGTCTCAAGATATGAACACCATTTAGGAGCTGTACCAATAGCCGGAACAAAATATTGCAACATTTTAGGAGCCTCATTAGCAAAAAATAGAAGTCCTGAAGTGTGCATGCATAAGATTTTTTGATGATAAAACTACAGTGCGGTAAAATCAGACATCACGCTTCTGAAATTGGAACGGTGCATCTGTGTTAAAATTATATATTCTGTAACAAAAAATAATTTACCAGAGTCAGGATATCGGCAGAAGTCGCTTAAATTAGATCCAGGTTCGATTGCTGCAAACGGTTTACCATCTGTTTCTTCCCATATTTTCAATAAGCGCATATCCATACTTAAAACAAGATTGTGCTCTGGTACAAAATCAATTTTGTTTACCGGCAAACCAGTTTGATGGTCCTTGATAAGCAGAGGTTTGTTAGACCGGATATCGAATAGTAAAACCTGCAAAGGCGGTGCACAAAAGTTGAAATAAACTGCGACATGTTGAAGGAAATAGTTTCAAAAACTTACACAACCAGTACTCGTCCCGACTCCAAGATGAAGCGCATCTTTAAAACATACTGAAGTCACTACTGGCAACTCGCTGAAAAGATTTGATATTACATGAAAATAAATAGAAACTGGCAACAAAAGTGGAAAGAATGAACTACTCATTATAAGAAATAAACAATGTAACAAAAAGTTCAAGCTGTTACACAATAATAATGAAGATCGAAAAACTTTAAATTGCCTGTTATTTGTTCGAAAATGTAAAGCACAGTCAAGAATACCACATCGATCTCCGTCCCTATGATCCCAAGCCTCAATTCGGCCATCATTTGTTCCACAAATAAACAAATGATGATTTCTGTTGAACTCACAGCATGTCAGTGACGAAGACGAAGTCTTTAGAGGCGCCAAAAACTTGCCTTCTTCCAAATTTAGGCGGAAAATTTCGCTGCTGCAATTATAATGATTTTCCTCAGGTTTAATAATAATCATGTTATTTTCTTACTCTATCAACCACTCCATTTCCATAAAAGTATGTTTAGCCAACGAGCCCTGATTTTGCATTCAAGAAACGAAAATACGATTATAACCTCCATTTGAAGAATCAATGAAAAGGAAAAAACATAGATGTTTTGTCGGAAGAGAGAATAAAGGTTAAATGTGTTTGCTATGTTAACTTTTTTTTAAAGCAAGCAACGGAAGACAATAAAGATCTGAACTGAACAGTTATCCCCTAAATAGAGAAAACGAATGTAGCAAGGGAAAAGGTGTACCAAATAAAGTAATGAAAAAAGGAATAAAACTTCTTGTAAGTTTTCAATTTAATAAGCAAACCTCATGTTTGGCTGAGAAATAATACTATGGAATGCAAGAAGGTCTACGGCGCGGTTTTTAGTTTCGTAAAAGATATTGGGAAAATATTATTACACAAAATATGGACAGATGTTCAACAGACTTACCCACTTCCCACAATGTAGAGGTCACTCACTTCATGACAGAAAGCCATGTCATGACCAAATTTCGGTATCCTCATTCTAAAATACCTTCCATAAGCGACATGCATCTCGACATATCGTTCTTCCTCTAACAGTACGAACTGAAAGAAAAGAACTCATCCAATAAACACAGCAATAATGCCTGAACATAGTTACTTCACGAGGCTTATCCTATGAAATAAATTTCTAGCATGTCTTGATAACAGTAAAGAAAAAAAGTGTGTTACAGCGTTGACAAAATAAAAATATCAGACCGGAGAAAAAGGCCGCATATCATCATTATGAGACTATCCTGTCTTTTATTCAGCTGTTTTATTGGCAACAAAACGTGTCAAAAAATGTAGCCTACTTTTGAGTAATCATCACTAAGAACAGCCATTTTCACGACATCCGCATCAAGACCACGCGAAAACTTCAGCGACAGGTCAGTTACATCAAAACACTTGAGAAGCGGTCTATAGGTACCTGAATATGTAAACGTCATGTAGGCTCCTGGATTTGTGTGATTAACTGATTTGTGCGATTAACTGTGTTTCTGGATCAATAGCTTATTTTGTCAGTTTTTAAATGTGTGGTACAGTTCACACAGTGTGATTCCAAGAGAAGATAACAGAATAGTAAGGACCACTGTTCTCAGTAGCTTAAATTTCGTGTAAAACTGGAAAGTAGCAATTCAGTTGCTGAACATTCCGCTGTTGTTACATTATAAAGTCCTTCACACCGTTAATATGTAAGAAGGAAGTTTGAAAAGTGTTATACAGACTGAATTGTCATACCCGTAGAAAATATGTAGCGTCCATCGGGGGATACCGTGACTGTATTGCTAATGTCGGGCATGTCAAAATCTTGTATTAACTGTATCCTTCTTCGCAGATCTGTAAAGGGATCGGAGAATCAAAACTTCTACAAACACCTTAAAGACATTGAAAAAACGGATAGCTCACAAAGTTTTGCAAAACTCAAACCTATATCTTTTTGTTCCAATCTTCGTCTTTTCCGATCTGTAATCCAGTCTGGGATTGACTTGCCAGCACTTAAATTGTAGATTTTGACATCATTTGCAGAAAGAATTTGCATTTCGAATTAGTACCTAGAAATACGGAAAACATTTTAGCCAAGGCCGTTATGTATATGTATATAGATAACGACCACATTTAGACTGAAGCTCATCGGTACAGAGACAGTTCTTCATCCTCATATTCCTCATCCTCAAGTACTTCCTCGTGAATTCCGTTATTGTGAAAACTCCCCCTGACATTCTTTAGACATGGGATCTGCTGGAAGAGGTTCATTCTACCTGTGACTAGACGCAAAACCAGTTAAAAGCATTTGTTGGAACGAACTCATAGGTTACAGAAGTCAAGCAACGTATAGGTAACCGAACATAATCCACACTATAGGACGACCCTCAAATTACTCACCCGTAAGGCCGCTCTCATACAGTTGTTCAGTACGGTTGCAGATATCCCGATTTCAACGTGTCTTCTGGAAACTCTGTGGCTCGGAGCATGCGAAGGGAAAGTGAAGGGAAATCACAGCTTTTAAATTAAAAAAAAAGAAGTCTTTAAATCATCAAAACTGAAAAGAAAGTAATGTATATGTGGGTATAATGATGGAAATACAAGGATGCAATAAGCATGCGTATGTAAAACGGGAACCAGCTAAGTGTCAAGAAAAGTGCTTCATTTGATTTTCATCATTGTATATAGATGATGTTCATCAATGAAGCTTGTGAAGAATTTAATTTCTAACGACATATATGTCAGTTGATGTAGTGTTTTCATCTGAATGAAAGTAACATCATGTTTTTGGCTGGAGTATCAATGCAAGATTTCTCAAAGGCATATAATGGAATTTTTAAAGCTTAGCAACGGTCTTATCATCAGTAAATTAGGTAAGATACTTGTGGTATTTTCAAGATCGTTGGCAGTTTGTTCCGGCGAGGTTCCCACATTCGTTTCGCACCCGCTCTTCAAAAAGGTTTTCTTGATTAAATATAATATAATCAAGAAAACCTTTTTTTGTTCTTTCATCGACGTTTTTCACTTCTTCCATTAAAGCCAACAATTTTGCAACTAGTTCCTTGTTCACGCTTGGTAATTTCGCCCTCCTTAACTTCCTGCTTGCAGTTAATGAAGGTACATAGTAACTTGCCCTGAAGTCTGGTATTTAAGTGAATTAATGAGTGGCAGACAATAAATATGAAGAGAAGTAGCGGCAACGGAGGCTCAGTATTACATTATCAGAAGTGCAGTTAGATTGGAACTGAGACATTTCCTTTATCAACTTTTTCAAGACAAAAATGTTTGGAGGTGTGAAGCGAAACAGGAAGTCCAATATATCTGAAGTGGTAAGTACCACGTGTCAATTTTAGGTTACGAAGCAAAGAGAGGAAGGGAGAGGGAAGACAAAGCACCATCTCCGAGATCGATTACTAGGAAGTTTCTGGAAACCAAGCTGTTGAGAATACTGTGAGTACAATCGCATAGGATACAGCCGGCGGTAAGGACTGACGTTCGCGCACTTATCCAGTAAGCTCTTGGCACGTCACCACTCCCGATCGATATCCAAATTTTTGTACCAAACTGCACAGACTGTTTCATACTGCGTGTCGCCTCACTTCCAGCTCATTATTTCGCAAGTGTAAGCTTTGCGCGGTCTGATCATTCAGCTGCTTTGGATTTTCGAGAATTCCTGGGTAAGCCTTTGTCTGTTCACGATATGTTTTTCACAAATTGAAGTCCCTTTAAAACTTCGAGATGTCAAAACTTTTGGAAAAGAAGCTTTTAATTTCTAAATCGTTTTTTAGCTTCTTTTTTCATCCTCAAAAAAAATTGTAAGCATGCACAGCGATTTGTTAAAGTGCGGTTGCGGTTTGTTTTGTTATTTTGTTCCGATTTGTTAAAAACGGCTTTAATTATTTTTATGGCCAAAGAAAAAAGAAACTTCCATTTGATAAGTTTTTAAACACAAAAATTAAAAGACGTGACAGGATGTATCATTTTCCTTGTTGATTTAAAAAATTGATTTGATAAAAAGAAAAGGAAGTGGCATCTTCTCATTTGGTTGTAAACACCACGATATTCTGCTGTCCGGTTCATCGATTTCTTAAATATATACCTTTCGTATTTATTCATCCTAATTCGTTAAGATAGGCAGGTTTGGTGACCATATAAATATTCGGTTTTTTTTTTTTTGGGGGGGGGGGGTAGGAGTCAGTACAACGTATTTTAGTTAGTAATGAAAATTTTTGAGATGAATCAAACTTAGAATACGCAGCGGGACATATAAAAAAGGAGAACTGATTCGTCGATGTGACTGAATAGAAAGAATACGAGAATCAGTAAAGAACTTCAGTTTTAATTCTGTTTGAAAATACGAGAGTAAAGGATCACTAAACCTTCGGAGGCGGTATCGCCCTTAGCATCGCAGTGGCTCACCGGACACGATTAAAGTCAACACATGATTAAAGTTCAGGATGTTATCCTTTAAGCATTTTTAGTATTGCAGCTCATTCACTAGGCCATCAACATCCCTTCGGAATAAGTGCCAGAAAATGCGGCGAGATCCCGATAAAGTAATAACAATGCAGCCCTGTGATTAAATTGCCAGTGACAATTTTCCACAATTTTCAATGATTCGAAAGTGTAACTTTCCGATTACTTCCTTTAAGTACATTGAACAATGAAAAGTCATAGAGGAACACTTGTTCGCGCACTGGCCCACATTTGGTTTGCATCTGAATCTTATTCAGTTTCTCATTGCCATCGCTCATGACTTTCATCATGGAACGATCTTTCTGTTTGTATTCATTTTAGACGTAATTCTTGTCTTCATTGACTGCATCATACTTCGGAATGAGTAATCTTTCCTCAATGTCTTTCCTCGATGACTGTATAAGCATCCAACCATAGCACCTAAATAAGCACTACAAGCTGGTTCATTCGCTTTCCTACTCTATCGATTTGAATAAGCGCTATAGAACCACACGTATCAGGTCCCAAACAGAAGCATAATATTGCGTCTGGCAGGATGCCAGAAATGCCGGGTGCAGATGACTAGTTTTTTTCTGTTGGCGTTATAGTGAATTAGGTGACGTATGCGAGAGAAAGTAGTTGCAATTCTCAAGGAGGTAATTGTTTATCATAAATTGGTAGAGTTTCAGTTGGGTTGGTGTCTAAAGGGCTTTGCTGCTTAAATAAAATGCGTTTGTAATGCTGAAGTTTTCTGCTAAATAAATTTATTTTGGCCTTCACTATTTTAATTTCAGTACAAGGTGATGTTTGTCTTCATATGGCGATTTTTGTTACGTTTTGATGGAAATCCAAACTATTATTGAGCTTTTGACGGCAATATTCATATAAAATTTAGAATTAAAGCTTCGCGAGTAAACTTTGTTGGGAAGCGCATCCATGTCTGATACCAGTAAGGGAAAGGAGGCGCACGTGGAAGAACATCGTTATACAGAGAAGGAGTGGAAAACTGGTGGGTCTTGTTTTTTCTGATCTTAACTCCATATTAGTTCACCAACATAATCGGCTTCATCATTTTTAGATAAGGATTCTTCTGGTTACAAACAGACAACGACTCAAGACTCAGGTATGTCGCAACAGGCTCTGCAAACATCCGCAGGCAGTACCAGCAAGTTAGTGTTTTTACAGTGCGTCCACCATTGAATATCTTGTTTCGTAGACAGGTGCACTCGCGATACTGTCCCATGGCTTTTAGAATAGTTTAATAAAGGGATGTGGCGGGTTTAATAGTAGCCGCCACCGCCTCTTCTTAATTTGAAGATTTCAACATGTCATAAAACTTTCCTCTGACATGACATCTGCAGTTAATTTTGTTATATATCCCCAAAACCTTAGGGACGGATGTAACTACCGCATGCCGTTCAGAAAAATTGCTATCAACTGATAACAAGATTGAAATGGTCAGACTGGTCTAGATTTCCTTAACGTTTCTCAAGTATACCATAGCAATGATTCTCGTAGTCATTTTGGGTTCTTTCCTTCATACCATGTACAGTAAATTAGCAATTTTCCATATTATTTTGTAATGGAGACGGAGATGGTTCTTTACTAAAACTTTTTTGTTATGTCAGTTTTTGTCAGAACAGTTAGGCTATAAAAGTTGAAATTTCCGCACTTCTTCAGGAATGAGACTGGAGACGGAGATGGTCCTTTACTAAAAAAAGTTATTATTGACGACGAAGGTGATTCAAAGGAAAGCGATAATAGTACTGAAGATACAGTTGTTGGTTTGACATATCAGGTGTGAATATAGTTGAGTATTATGAATAAATTTCGTCAGGTGACGGCAGTGTGATGGGAATGGCAAATTTTCCACCGAATAGATATTCATTTCAGTAATTAATGGGCGCATTGTTTTTCGGTTTTGATATTTGTGCCACTTGCAGTGATAGGCTAAGCTCGAATGGAATAATTCTTTTGTCCCAGCTAACTGTAAGAACCAACATCCATCGATAAAATAAATTTAAAAAAGATGAACTGTGAATAAATGCTCGATATGGAATTGAATAGTAGGAGCGTACTTTAATGTCTGGTTGTTGTTCGTGGTGTTAAGGAGTTTTTTTTTTTTTTTTTATCTTACTGAGATTTTTATTTGTCCACTACAAATAACAATGTGTAGGAGATTTATGTTTATCTAAAACATATAAACAGGATCATAATTATGGAAGACGATCTGGAAACGCACAGAAAAATGATGGAGAAAATGGAGAGAAATTTCCTATTATTGGTGGACTTGCTTCTTACATCGGTACATTGAGAATCCTTTCATAACTGTCACAAACTTTCTCAGTGACATTGACTGATTCCGTTCATTAGCGGCAAATATTCAAGTAGTTGATGATGCTCCATTTAGGGGATGAAATCAGTAAAGTTCCTGCAGGATATCACTCTCGGGATACAAACTCGGGACACTTTTTAAGGTAAAATACATCATTTTTTCCGAAGTCAGTAAATTGGACTTTAAAATCGTGCGAAGATTATACTTTGGATTCCAAATCATTCAACATATAGATTTGTTCAATAATGATAAACTATCCCTAGAACCTTATTGGTTCCCAATTGGTGTGAACTGTACCATTTCTTTAGATCGCACAATTATGGAATGCATTATCGAAAGATATCGGAAATGGATCCACGCACGTCTTGTAGAATATATTCTGGTGCTTTGGGTGGATGTCGGACGAATCAGATGCGAAGGCAAGGTTTTGCAAATAAGAGGGATGAGTGGTTTTTGTCTTACCTTCGTTCCATAGTTTTATTTCTGGTCATTTCCGATCATTTTTATTGTCTTTCAGCGACAAATAAATTATTCCATTAATCTATGCAGAAAATATACTTTAGTACCATTGTCTATGCAGCTTATCTGCTAGTTAACTTATCTAACTCAGTACTTTGACTCTTGATTTTTGCCATTAAGGTTGCCAGTTTCTTCCAGCGGGCAGATATTTTCCCGACAAACTCCCATCACAGCTACTCAAAATTACCGGACACCTCGTCGAGGTTGGTTTTCTTTTAATGATCTGCTTGAAAACACATATCTAAGGTTTGATTTGCCTAAATTTTTTTGACGAAACCTTAGTATTTTAGAATGAAGGGTTTGTTAGAGATTACCTTTAACTTAAGGTTATTATCCAGACTTGATCTAAAAATACTAGTAGTTACAAGAAGTAAGACAGACAAAGTTTTCCTTTTTCTGTTTCTCACTCTGCCGTATATTCTAATGTCTCGTTGATCCTCATAGTACTATGAATATTTTAATCGTAAAAACGCGCACATGTTAAGCATGACTGATTCAAGAATGTTTTACGTCTAAGTGACATGATTTACATTTTTTTTTAATATGTCGTAATTCATACAATTGGAATATTTTGTGTAATTTGAGTCGAAAAATGTTGTGCTGGTATTTTGAAGGTTCAGGAGGAACTCATATATCGGCTAATAATCAAAGTGATGTATTGTTCCGCTCACGTCATTTCATCGGTTCCGGTGGTGCGTTTGGAGCACCTGTACCATCGAACAAAAGAGTCCTTCGACCAGCGTAAGTAGTTAGCGTCATCTTATTTTCGTTTTGGGACTTTTTTTTTTTTTGGTTCGTTAGTACTGGTAATAAATCTCGTAGTAAACTTGGTCTTGCAAGCATTAATAGAAGTCGGTTAAAACACAGATACATATTTAGACATCCTCTAACTCCTGCAGTACCAACTTTTCGTCAGAGTGTACGTCAAGTAATTCCTACTAGCAAATCGATTTCGGCAACAATGCCTGCTTATGCGACAGCATTTAATGTAACAGGTACTGATTCCGAAACACATGCCGCAGATATGAGTGTTGGTTTGGCACCGTTTCTCGTTCCATCTCGACGGCCTCGTCCAGTTGTCCGGAACCGAGGTAATATTTTTAGTTAGAGAAATCTTTTTGTTGTTAAAGACCTTGCGATCATATTATTGCTGACCAATGGTGCTTACACAAAACTATGGCTAAATTAGATAGTAACTTATCCAAAACACTGTGCTTTCATGACAGCAGTTACCGAAGTACTAATTCACTGCAAATGCGGAATCAGTATGATCGTCTTTAATATGGCGCTCTGAATTGGGCAGTCATACGGGTATATGTTGTCACGACAATACGTTTTGAATCCAAACTGCTTATTACTTCCCCAGGATAGTATATCTAGGCGATTGGATCGTTTTATTCAATTCTCATGGTGGTGTATGTGGTGTATCTCTATAACGGACTTCTAAATGAATGTTTTAAACACAAGGTATAAACGAATCTGTTGTAGTGCGAGCATCACGCGAACCAGGTAAAGGAGCAGAACTGTTATTGCAGAAAACTGTCGCCAATGACCCCCAGGTGAACTTGATATTTGAATTTTTCTTTAATAAATATTTCTTAGTGCTTTATGTACATCTCATTAACATTGATCATAGCAACGAGTATCATATACTGGTAACAATTGTTAAGATAGACAATACTGTTCACACCGAAAAGCAGTCTGAAATTATTACTACTTCCCGACAACATCTCTCGAAAAATGTGACTGGTAATAGTGAAGTTGTTAAACAGCAGTATATCATGGCGGAGCCTCTTGAACCTTGTCATGTTCCTCGTATTCAGCATGCTGCTCAACAGGTTAAACGTATATTTGATTTGTTGAATTTTTCAGTGTCTTTTTCAACTTTTTTTTGCGAAGTCCAGCTTTCTCTAAAAATTTTACAACCATAGATTTTGCTTTACAAGCTCTCACGGAATACTGAAATTTTCCTCACTTTAACTTTTATCATTTGGTTAACGTTGATATGAGGAAGATGTGTCATTTCTGTTAATTTGGCAGAATTGTTTGTTGTATAGCAAACTTCTGTAAAGAATGTTGAATGAGGAACTGCTGATGTTATTAGAAATATTTTTAAATTACTATAGTAAATACTGTGTTTACGAGCGTTCTTTAAAGAGAAGGTATCAGTTCTTATGCTGAGCCGTTGAATAATTATTGGAGAATGCGGGAATGCACTTCTATTCTTTACAGCGTGCAGTCCCAAATGATTCGATGAGCATGATTGTGGATGAACAGCTGTCACCGAAAAGTCTTCAAAATTCCTCTACGGTGGTTCACTGTAAAGAAGAGCAGGAAACATCTCCACAGGTGGTTGACCATTTGGCGTATCAAAACCTTCACTTCTTACGAAATCGTAATCTTGCTAATTGCTATGGATGTTTTTGTATATTTTTCCCTCATCATCTGTAACAGTCATGTATCTGTACGCTTTTTAGTCGTTTCTACATAAAGTTGTATTTTAAACGGCGGAACTTCTTAATTCAAATTCTGGATTTTATAATAGGCATTAAAAAAATCCAGTGCTTTTCCGAACCAAATTCTTCGTTAGCAAAAAATTTCAATTAGAGAAATTTTATGATTTCACATGCTAGCTTAAGCAAAATAGCCCTACAACGTTGTTTCCAACTTAATGGTCCTGTAGGGATATGTCTGTAAACCTAATTTTTTTAAACTTTTCATACTTCTAAACATTACTGAAGTAAGTTAAAATGATGCAGTTTACAATGGAAAGATTAGCTTCATCTTTTTTTTACTCTAGAGTCTTTCTGCTGATTCTCGTGAACCGATTTACGTCAATAATGATGACAGAATACGTGATCCTCAACAAATTGCTCAAACTTGTATAGCCTTTCCTCATCGTTCGCAACAGGATATCACAAAATATGTTGACGATCATTATCGGAAGCTTCAAAAGGTTTTCTTTTTTGGAATCATGTGGATTTCCGAAACATTAAGCTGCTCGTCGTATCTCGTACTGCGCTATAGGAGCATCACTTGTTTCCACTTGTAACTAAACCTGAATGTTTATTCAGGAAACCTCAATTTTTATTTAGGAATCATTCGTCGCTAATTCTCGTCAGCTTCTTACTCGACAACTCGATGAGCTCCAGATGCGACAGGTCTTAATTTTTTTTTCACAATATGATTTGATTGGCTTTAAAGTGCTGGGTTATTTTATTTTCGTCGTTTATAGCCACGAATTCGTCATTCCGAAACCGTCGCTTTCGATAGTTCTAAGAAAATGAAAGAGGGTCGTGTCGCTCAGCAGTCTGTGACGCAATCTGTAACAAGCGTTCCGGTAAAAAGTCCTTGCCAGGATTTCTAGGGATTTTTATAGCTATAAGATTATTAAATAAAATAGAACTTGCAATTTCTGTTTACAGTGGGTTGAAAATTTTCTTTTTGCAGAACATGAACATTTATATTCTGTTATACAGTCACTCAAATTAGGACAGCTCGAGTTGTCTTGATAAAAGTTGCAATATGGTGTTTGAATTACTAGCACTCTCAAAATTTATTGCTGTCGCTCATCACTTATTTCATTAATTCCGCACTTATTTTCTTCCTATTTCGCTCACTTGTGCAATGTAAAATTCAGGGAATTGGTCTACATCGGCAGGAACCGATGTCATCTGAACATGTCGGTCTTAATCAAAATCGTGTGTTTGATTCACAACAGCAAAAGGTAATGCACTCAACATCGCTTGCGACAGAAATCCCCATGTTGCCGTCCAAAGACAGAACAGCAAGTGATAATATCCCAGCAGCATCAGACGGTGCAGATATTCTTTAATTTTTTTGTAGCTATTTTTTTTTCAGCGTGCTTCGATATGCGGTGGATACGTTACCAGGATTTTTTTTTTGAACTCACCGCAGCTGTCGATTTATATAATTGTTGTGGTAGGCTATAATTCTGAAAAAAGTGATTTGTATGATTCAGTTTGCTTTTTCAGTTACTTTGGAAAAAACTGATTATAAAGTTTCCTTGGTCGAAGATATATCGAGTGGAGAGGAACCACATGTTTTTAATGAAACATGTAATGAGGCTTTGGAGCAGCGAGTTTCTGTTGCAACGCGTTCATCGATTAGTGGAGCGGAGGAGGAGACGAGTGTGAATGGTGTGGTTAAGCTGTTTATCTTACGCATGATAAATTTTATATGGTTATAAAATCTAAACAATAATAATGTGAACCGTTTTACTAGATGTATTTCACTGTTTGACTTTGCAGGTAATGTTGATGAAAAAGGAACGGAAGATGAAGGTGTTCGAACCACTAAAATAGTTACAGGTTTAGATTCGCCATCAAACAGTAACAGTGAGGACGATTGGGAAGAAGAATACACGACGCGTTGTTACTGTGGCTTGAATCATAACGACGAATTCATGATACAGTGTGATGTGTGCAAGTAAATTTTATGGAAAATCTGTTTTTGTTACGTCATTATCTGTGATTTCGAAAACCAGGGTGGCGTTGTTCTCGAATCATATCGTTAACTGATCTTTTCTTTCTGGGAGATGTCTTTGCTTTTAGCGAATGGTAGATTGCAAGTCGGAAGTCCAGGAAATAGGACATTGTAAAAACTTGCAAATATTTTAGTGTATGGCAACACGGGAAATGTATGGACATTGATCGACGTCGAGTGCCAGATACGTATCAGTGTGAAGAATGCAATCCACGTTTGTTGAAACTTAGCAAAACTCAGGCACGGGCGATGCAGCTGAAAGTACTTGCTCGGCAGCGCAAAGAAAAAGAAAAGAAACGTCGTCAAAGAGCTAAAGGACACTTTAAAAAAATTCGAGAAAAATCTGTAGGTTTAAAAGGCCCTATTAATTTTAATGTTAATGAAGCTACAATTCGGTAGTTGCAGTTACTTGTCCATGTCTATTTATGGTGAGGTGGAAGGTCAGAGATAATGAATCTAAACATAAGATGAATAGACTAAGGTTTGTAACGTATGACTCGAATTATGAAAATATATGTCATCTGTAGGATTCTTACGATGAAACAAAGAAAAAACAAATACGAGGAAATTCATCCAAAGATTACATCGAATGTTTCAAGTATGAATACACAAGATCTGTCATGGCATTTTCACGCAAACACGAAGACACGGTAGATCCTCTTTGTCATTTTAGGCGATGCATTTTAGTTTTTAAAATTATCTCAGCGTCTGTTTTGTAAAATTTTGTCTGAGGATTAGTTCTCTTGGGATGAATTCAACACAAATGAGTACTTTGAAGTGGCAGTTTAACTTTATATTTAGGCCAAATCATATTCAGGGTGATCCTGCGGTATTGGAAGTGTTGCGAAACAGCGACGGTGTGAGTGTTATGTATGTTACGCAGATGTCTATGGGTTTAGTTTCGACGCGGCTATACCATGTTAATGAACCAGTAATGTATATTTGTGGTCGCGTATCGCTTCCTTGTGAATGTCGTGGTCGAGAAGAGCCAGGATCGGTCGTACCTTTTGTCACTTTATACAGGTAGATTATTCTGTTTTGTACAGTCACATTTAAAATTACCCAAAGTTTGAGATAAAACTTTATTATTTCGTTGACAACTTGTATGTTGGATAGTGAGCTCATGCAAAGTGAGCTAATTGGTATTCTGATGTAATTTTCGGTAAAAATGTCAATGAACTCTGGAACAGAGCAAGTAGGTGTTAAAAATGTATTTTGATTTTATTCCATCATATGGTGATATTTTGGTTCACCTTAAAAATATTTCTTAATAATATTATCCATTTTAAGTGATCTAGTGGTTGAGGAAAACAGAGAGCCTACACCAATTTGTATTGATGCTCGCCGTTTCGGTTCAAAAGCGCGGTTTGCTCGTACATCTTGCCGACCAAACATCAAGGTACAACATTTCTTTCTGAAAGGCAAGCTGCATATCATCGGTATTGCTACTGGAAACATCGACCGTGGTGAAGAGGTTATCACTTATGATCTTTGGTTATGAATTTTCTTTGAATTTATTTCCAAGTTTTTTTTTCTTGGCATTTTTCATTAGATAAATAAACTGATGTGTTTCTGTTTCGTATAATTTTACAGTAGCTGTGGGTGTAGAAGCACCACGGCCAAAAGAGATCAAATCTTGAGTGTTTGGGATAAGTTAGATTGACAGCTGTTAGTGTGATGAAGTTTCCATGTAGTATTTGGTTTGGTTTAGATTACTCTTCCGTTTGATGCCGACTACTTCATGTCAAAAACAAAACTTGTTTGCGCATGTTCAGCAGATGACGAGGATGATAGCAATGTGGATTGTTTAGTCCGTAACTTTAATCGATCACTTGAGCAAAAACAAAATCTAGTCAGCGCTACGGTTGGTGCATTATTTATATAATAAAGAAAAAGTGAAATTTATCTGAATTTCTTTTTGTGCTCGCATTTTTAATGCTATGGAATATATGGCTTAGAAATACGGTGGATAGAGTGTTTCACTTTTATTTGAATTACGCTATTATTTATCAACAAGAACCGGTGTTATGGGTTCCTTTGTTATTGATTTTCTTCTAATCGAAGTTGCATTCATTGCTGCGGAGAGCTAAGAATAATTTAACTGGTCGCAGAACTAGGCACTCTAATTCCTGATCGTTGCTTTGTTTTTGATCAGTCGAATAAACATGAAATTGAAATTTGCAGGCTTCGGATACGGTTTCACATTCAATTTTAAATGTTGGTACCACCTCGAAAGATCATGCCAGAAAGCAATATATAGACTTGGAGGTCGAAAAAGTTCAAGCGAATATGAAATCTAAAAATATTTCAAGTGGATCTCGATATTCTGCTACAACATTTTCATCGAAAATGACTGTATCTGATTACAGTGGTGAAGTTAATACAGCCAGAACAGTCGAAACAACAATGGCTGTAACACCAACTGCAGAAGATGAGAATGCAACTAATAAGGATGTATTACCAGGCAGTGCTGTAGAGATGTGCGTTTTTTGCCAATGAGGTTTTCAAAAATTCATTTCATGAGTTACTGAAAGACGCTGTGATTGAATTATTTTTCAGAGAAGTATAGGCTAGATATGAGTTCATTTGTTGAGTGAAAGATAATTATGAGAACTAGTCATTTTTGAACATATTGGTTTTCTTTTTGCTTTACAGGCAATCCCGTACTCGAGCTACCGTAAGTGGTTCTTCAAGAAAAGCTCGGAGTAAACTACCGAAGATATCCCCCAGCACTGCATCATACAGGAAAAAAGGCGGCATCAAATTACGCTATCGTGGAGCAGCTAATTATAGAACTGTCGAAACAGGACAGGAAGCATGCACAAATGAATGCGAAAATTCCGTTATTCCACCAAAGGCGAAAACGTTTGTTGTTTCTCTATGAAAAGTCGTTATTAATTTACCAAACAAAATTATTTTATATTCATAAATTGATCTTTGAGTTAATTCGGTTGATGAATTTGGTTTTTTAGTCTTATGGAAGTTCTTAAACTATTTTTCCAGTGAAATTATTAATATTGTCAAGGACCCAGTGGATGTCGACAGCTCACTGAAAAAAGCTTGTTTATTTAGTAGCGAAACGAATGTGCAGGCAGAGGTATTTTCTCGTATTTTGATTATACAGCACAATAATGTTTAGGATTCCTTGAAGACAGCTTATTGGTAACGCATTGTTTTAGGAACAGCATGAGGAAAAACAGCTGGTTGCATCAAATAAAGAGTGCGAATCCGTGGAAGAAAATAAATTTATCACGGAAAAATTGAGAACACATACAGAAGCTGAAATAAGAACTGAAAATGTGCAAAAATTAGATACAATTGGTGCGGGATCAGTTGTGACGAAAAATGTCGGCAGACCTAAAAAGAAACGACGAACTCCTAGTAATGTGAGGGTTGTTGATGCAGTTGATGGGGCAGGGAAAAGTGAAGGAAATGAACACTTAGCCACTTTGGATAGTTCAGCGAAGAAGATGCACAGTAAAAATGGTATGCTGGAAGAGGTTGAAAGTGTAAACTATATGCTTCCCGAAGAGCGTAATAAAGCAATGGCAAGTTTCTTTATTTTGGTTTGTATCATATGGATGCTATTAAATTGATAACAGTTTGTGGATGATATACCCTCTTGATTCTTTAGTGTGTCGAACTCATGTTTTAAGTTTTTTTGGCGACCATTTCGATTATTCCAGTCTCGAGAAGAGCGTAAAGTACTGCTAGAGCTTGCACTGTTCGAACGTATGCAGCAACGTGAGGCGAAACGACAGCAGCATGTAGCCTGTACACGTGGTACTGGAAGCGCTCGCTCTCGTCTGAGCCAGTGAGTTATGAAATCACTGCTTGTATTATTCAGTGCTATCTATCCAAAGTTGTATAATTGCAAACATTGTACAGGAATGGCGCAAAAAAGGCTAAAAACGCGAAAGGCCGACGACGTGTATCAAGCTCGGAATGCCCTTCAAAAATAGCGCTGAAACGAAGTCGTACGATGAGCGAAGGTGCAAAATGGCGAGTTAAATCTGAAGCAGAGCAAGGTTTGTTCCACTTTTTTAATCTGATATCTTGTGTTGGCGAAAATTACTTCTGTGATAGTTGCATTGATTTTCACAATTGTAGTGAAACAGCAAAATGCGAATGAAATATGAGTTGTAAAACTGTTAATTTTGCAGTTATTGGCGTGTTTTTATCATTGTTAAGAAAGCGGACCATCATAGTGTTTCTTAAGTTACCTACTTATTTTTTTTTTTTTTAGAAAGCTTTTTATATGCCTTGTTTCACTGCAGGTCTAAACAGCGACTTGATTAAAAAGGCGGTCTCGTTTTCGCCTTATGCTCAAAGCTTAGCTATTGAATCAAAGGCAGAATCCAAAATGAAGGGAAACAGAGGAGGTATGAAAATTTATTTGTGCTAATAGTTAATGTCTAAGGCATACTTTTGATTATAAAAAACATTAATGAAGAGAGCACGTTCCTTTCTCTTATTTCCGGTCTTTTCCTTCGTCAGTAATGAAAGCAGTATTTTTACGATTTGTCAGATAAAAAACATTAGCAAAAGATCGCTTGCCTATTAACTGCATTATTCAGTATGTTGTTTGAAGAAAGTTTTGAATTTTTCCATTGTGTTGAATTCTGTCCCAACCATTTTAGTCGGAAATGGGACCTTGAAAACAGAAGTAAGCTTTTGTTTAGGATGAGATATACAAACGGGTTTTTACAAGTTTGGAATTCTATGAAAATATTTTGAGCATTTCAAACCACAGATATGACTGCCGAGGTAGAACCACGAGAACTGAAAGTGTTCACTGATAATACCGCTCTCAGTTGCAAAAGTTCCGTGCTATGTGCAAAGAGAAAAATCCAAAACACAGCCGGTTCCATTCAGAACAATGATACGACTGTTTGCCCTACCGATGAGGAGCATATAAAAGACGAGGTTGACTTTTTGTTGTGACTTCACTCTGGTACCACTTGCTCGGCTTTTTTTATAATGCAATGAGAAGGGAATATTTTTCAGATAGAGCCACTATCGAAAAGAAAGCGCGAAAGTAATAGAATGAATGACAAAAGTAATTTGGATATGTCGGAGAAGGCTTCATGCAGTTCGAATTTTGGTATCACTGGTTCGTTACTTGCTTTTAAACCATGTACTTCACTTTAAAACATCGTATTCCGCATCTCATTGGTTTTCGCGGTTGCAGACTTAACGACAAATGTTTGGTGGGATTATGAAGGCTTTAGTATAATTCTTTTTGTTTTTTGCCTTGTTTTGGAGTAAGATTATGTATTTGATTTATTATAGAAGAAATTCGTGCTTTCTTTCGTAAGATGGTTGAGATTGAGGCTGCTTGTGAACCATCGGACTTTTTGCTTGATTTCCAAACGTTGGATGGAGTTGAGCTCCCTTCAACTTCTTTGCACGCTGAATGTAGCAAAAATCAAGTGAAGGTTGCGGAAGCTCCTAAGAAAAAGATGTCACTGGATGAATATAAAAAAAGAAAAAGCTCAAAAACCAATATGGATTCGGAGAAGTAAGTTCTTTCACATTAAGAAATGGCAAATCTTGAAGGGTTAGAAGGAAGGACATCGTTAAAGTTGTTTTTTAAGATTTTCAAATACTATTTGTATGTTTTTTTTCCACTTTTGAATGCCAGAAAGCATAATTTATGATTAGGCATGACGTCTCTCTCATTAATCCTCGTAAAGTGGTTCAATTTGTTTCGCTTCAACAGAAATTTCGCTCAGCCTTTTTCTTATGAATGCTAAGAGTCTTTTTCTGTCAGCTGTTTTCACCAGTTAAGCTTGTTTACTTCAGAGATTCTTGTAGTGAGATGTCAAGAAATTTCATATACAGAACAAGTCAACGCAATCTAAATTTGTAGAACACCTGCAATTGTTATTGAAAAGAAAGCAGAAGAAGGTGAGCACAAGCAGATCCCATTGTCTCGTTCTTTCATTCCGTTAATGGGTGCCAGTGGAAGTGTTGGAAAGCGCGCATCACTTCGTCTGGGTGCCCTTCCTGATCCTGTACAGTTGCGCGCAACTCCAACGCTTTCAATTGATGACCTGAAACGTCGTATTTATCGGCGAACGACACCTTCAACTGCAGTGACTTCGAATACTGATGGTATTTCACCTTCTTTCATGGTGCAAAAGAACGCTTCACATACCTCACCAGGACAGTGCTCTGAAGTGAGTAATATATTCGAATGAGACATTCTGTGACATTTTGAAATTGACATTGAACTGACAAATAATCTGTGATTGAAGGAACTTCGTATCTCGATACTTTGTTATACAGATACAGATACTTTGTATTATTCTTTCCCCACCTTCCGACACGCTTCATGCCTACTGTATGGTTTAGCAGTGTTATTTTAATCAGAATAATGGATCATCGTTCAAAGATTGTTGGTTGCTATTGAAAAAATTGACTTATTCATAAAAATATCAGCCTTATTTAGAAAAACTGGAAATTCGAAGTCTTGAAGAATAGGTAGATTTGTTCATGAAGATATGGAGGAAAAATAGCGGAGTCCCCATTTTCTGGTGATGCACTTATTTGTGGTTTCTCAGGTTGATTAAAACCATCTGCAATAGTCATTTTTTGTGGTTATGAAACCACTGTTTAGCGATATGAGCTTTGATGCATTTGGGGTTGACGTCTTACTGACGTATTATTTTTCTTTTTTATTCCATATTACCATACTTTTTTCTTTATTCTCATCACTGGACTATTATTTCTCTGCAATTCCTTCTCCACTTCTATGCTTTAATTATTGTGATTTAGTAGCGTTAGGCCAGAAAAGGTTCTGATGGTGTCAAACACACCGATACAACTCCATACTGTTTACGTGATTTGAATTCCGAACCGAATACATTTTTAGCACATCTTTATTTGCTGGTGACATATCTTTCCACTCTTTGCATCTTTGCACTTTTCATTCGTTTTCTTTGTGGAAGTGGACAGATTTCAACTTTTTAATTTATACAAGAATTCCAGGAAGGACCAACTTCATTTGCATTCTCGTCATCGTCATGTCGAAGAGAACTACCTTTAAATATGACTTTCAATAAAGACAAGAGGCTCCCGCTCGAAGAGCGATTACGTTTGGTACTCGGGTGTGGTGAAGGGTACGCTGATAGGTATAGTTCATCTGTATCTCCATCAGTTGCTCCTCCACCACCTCCACCGCCTCCTCCTCTTCCTATCAAGAGTTCAGGTCAGCACTCGAATTTAAAGGTTATGCCTGCAAAAGTTTCATTTAGTGACTTAGCATATTTAATATATCTTTCTTTTCCAATTTCTCATCATACATTAGTGGAACACTTGTGTTTTCCAGAAATACCAAAACTGACATGCGATCTCTCTGGTGACGTCCATGCGGATATTCCTCTACCGCCACCACCACCGACAACTACTCCGTCTTGCAGTCAATCTGATCAATGTTCGTATGAAGCACATTCGTTGGGACCCCGTAGAGATTGAAATTTATCTTCATTGTGAGTCGTTCCTGTGATGGATGCATTGTGAGTCATTCCTGTTATAGTAAAGTTTGTGATTATGGACAGCTTCTGTTTGTAATAGAATTCTGAGATATTTAGGAACTGCTGATCTGTGTACTATCGTTTATGAATCTGCCTTTTTTCAGCAATCTGATGTGATACCACTGGGTTATTGAATACGCTCACAGATATACTTTCTACCTCTTCGGCACAATTGGTATGCTTATTCTACCTTTCCGGTTTATATAATCATTGATATCAAAATGCTAACAGTTTCTTTGCTTGGAATGGATAATTTATGGATGGTGCGCTGCAATCTCCGAATCGCTTTTTCAATAACTTCATGTCGTCATCTATTCGGTTATTAATTGTAAGGATAAAAAATTTGTTATATCAAATCCCATTGTATCCATCCCCGTTCATCCTTTGCTCCATCACTGCTTTTTCTTTTAATTTTAATGAATTGGTTTTTTATATGATCATTATTCTTTAACTATGAATAACGTTTGGTCAGTTGCATTTTTGTGTTGTGTATACACTTTTTTCTCCATTTGATTTGTATTGGATGTCGAGTACTTGTTATTACTCAGGTACCTAGAAGGGCTTTGTGATTTGTGGGTATTGTTGTATTCAGTGACTAGTATTTTCATTTGTCACTAATGCGGTATGGATGAGCCCTTCTGTATTTTTATGGGTGAATTGCGAATTTCAAGGCTATGATTTTTTAACCGCTGATCTCTTTATGTTCTTTTTTTTCTTTTTTGGCGTATAGATTCTTGTTCCCTTCCTCCATGCAATTTTGTTTTCATAACCCCTCCTCTTTCCTTATTTGAAATTGTAATCATCTCCAGGAATTGATGGGTCTTTGTATCATCCCAATTTTTCTGTCAACTTACAGTCATATTTGAATAATCAGTATTGTAATTGCATTGGCATTAAAGCACAGCCCTCAGTCACTGCTATACTTGTTAGACTTTTCCTTTCCTATTGTTTCAGTTCTGCATTTTAACCGTTTGTGTTAAAGGAGACTTTTTAGCTTTTGTGAATATTGTTTATTGTTCAAGTAAGTTAAAAATAATATCTTGTTTGTTTATTATTTTGTTGTAATCAAAAGAACTATTTTTACTGAAGCTTCCTTTTATTGTGAGATATGAAAATATTGTATCATATGACGTTTGATTTGTAATCATAGATCATCTCGTCTTCCTTTTGTTGTAATACATTATGCGTTGTATATACACATTTTTGTCCACTCTGAGTGAACGTCATCGGTAACGCGTTAGTATTATGACTATCAATTCCTTTAGGGAGAAGATAAACTGGAACTGTGAATTTTGTTGGGCAAAAGTCAATGTGCAGAATTTTTATTTTACCTGGTCTCCAGCTCGGTTTGTGTGATACTGGTGAGCGTAACCTTAATTTTCATTGCTGTGTGCTTTGTGTGGTCACATCTAGTGTCCCCAGTTCTTCACTCACGCACTGCCTGCTAAAAATAATGTGGAGCACCGTATAGTGTTGCTGATTAAGCCGTAAAAATTCAGCATCTCGTAATTTTGCGGTGCCTTTTATGTGTCGTCAAAATCGCATAGCTTGGTTGTTTTTCATATTTGTTCGATGTATTACAAAGAGATTGACATCTATAAAAGTATCATATTTCCTTATACATTTGTGGTAGACGTTAAGGAGCTTGGCCAGATGTGTGCCACACTTTTTTTCTTCCTGGCTGATGTGGCGATTAATGACATAAGAAAGTGATATCGAGAGAAACTAAATGTGGTTTAGATGAAAATCTGTGGGTTGATCTCTCTGTGAATATGTGCGAAAACACGGAGTCCAAATAAAGTGTATAATAAACGGGGCAATTCAATAAGTCCAGCAATTACAAGCAGTCTGAAGCAATGGAAAGGTCTTACAGGATTGGTGACGGTTTAGATTTTCGTATTAAGGAAAGGTTTTTAAAACGTATTTGTTATGGATTGGTTTAGTAATCCTGAAGAACATTTTCATCTGAACTTATTGAGTTTCTCATCTTTAAGGATATGATTATGGAAGCGCAGGAGGTGTCTTCTAATAATGGTTGGAATTGTGTATTAATTTGGATACCATAGATCACGTAACTATTCCTTGTATTTATGGTGAGATGAAATGGAATATGAAGAGCGAATATGTGTTGCGCTTGGTCATTGTAGTTGATATTTGCTCTTTTCGGAAGTGGTGTTACAATGACTGACAAAGTCGAATTAGTTACGGCCTTAAAATCGTTCCTAATTGTCTGACTGTAGGTATATTCAATAAAACTATAAAGAATCCTGGACTTTAGGGCAAGTGAGCTGAACCTTTTTTGCTTTGTACTAGAGATTTACTTTCTTCTGAAAACATGTCTGTTTCATACCATAAAATTTATCCACCGGAAAGGCTTTCTTGGCATAATTTCAAAAAAGACTGTTGAACCATTTTAAAGCTTTGTTTTCTTTCGTCAGTAATTTTGGCCTTATTTAGATCCTTTATGAGGAAGGCTTATCATAAAGTTTTTCGTTCAATCTAAAATTTGATGAAAAGGAATGTTTACGAA